TGAAAATTGATGAAGATGTTAATGTAATTTCAGTCTTCTTTCAAAAAGGACTATTTTGTAGAGTTATAAAATAAGTTTAAAGGTAATTAGGGGAATAAGATAAAAAAAAGAGCTAAGTGTTTGTATTGTTTATAAATGACTATTCCTTGGTCCCTAGTCCTTCAATTATTATATAATTCAGAAAAGCAGAGTAGAAAGCTGTTTTATATATGCTAGTAAAAATATAAGGCAAATATTCCATGTCTCTATATAAGTAGCAGGTTATCCATTACATAGTATTGTTTAACACTATGAAAAGCTATCAGTTAAATATCATCACGTATCTACATATACTAAATAACATCTGTCTCCATTGCAGACATTAAATCCTTCCTACATATCGCTAGCAATATACTCAGTAAAAGAAATATAAGGTCATTCCCTGACTTCTTAAGCTCAATCATCAATTTGTATACAGTCTTTGATATGTCACATGAACCCTTACAGAGTCTTGTCCCTACCTACCTCTACCGCCTCCTCCCAAGATATTATCTTGCTTGAATTTTATATTTGAGTATTGGAAATTTTGTAGTTCTCTGAACACATAAAATTTCCCTCACCTCGATGTCCCAGCTTATTATATTCTTCCTTCCTTGAACTCCTTTCTATAAAATCCCACCTTATGGTTAATTCTTAGTTTGTCTTCATAGCTCAGTTATGAGTACCTTCCCTGGGCCTCCCAGATGGGCTGGTTACCATCCACTCATCTCATGTCCATCTCTTTTATAGCACTTATGATACTAACTGTATCATCTCATATGAGAGATGCTCCCAAGTAATAGCAATAGTTGTTAATCATAATAATTGCAACATTGTTGCTGTTATTCTATCCTTATACTATCCCTAAATAGGTTTATCTCTAGGACATGGCCAAAATTATGTTCTTAATAAAGGCAGAATGTTCTCAAATTTTTCTGGTAGAGGTTTCCTCTCCTAGAAGCCTAAATAAACATGTTCAGCTCTCTCCTTTTGTACCCAAGCCAGACCTTCTTCATGAACTACAATATGGCAAGATGCCCTGCTCTCCACATTCTGTCCCATCACTCTGACTCAGCCTGCCTACACCCTGGCCACAACCACTAGTTAGGTATGTGGTTTAAGGTGATGCCACCTCCTATCTAGATGTGTTCTGATAACGCTGGCATGTTATAAGAGTCGTGGTCCTCTGTTCTTACTTTGGATCTGTATGCCCCATTTGGTGGGTGAGGGGTACACCCTTACACTACTCTAATCAACAATTCCCTGTTTGAAGGATATAATAATACAATACCTTATTTGTGCCAGCCTCGTGTGTGTGTGTGCACATGCATATGTGTGTTATGAAAAGGAGAAATGTGCATATGACCTAACCACATTAACTGAGGTTCTATAACATAGACTGAGGAAGAAATACAAATGGATTTTCCTAAAAGATGAGATATTTGCTACCCGAAGAGTGAAGGAAGCAAGAAGAGAGGAAACTTTGGGGAAGGACTGCTTGTAGAAGGGCTTGTTGAAAGCGTGTCACGCATTTAAAGTTGAGTGAAGAGCTTTGGAAAAGCCAAGACCCTGGCTTGGACATGGATTTGAGGTGGGAATGTATACATAAGCTTTTCATCTGACTGATCTTAAGGCTTAAAGGGGCAGTAACTGGCAGAGGCAAAGGGCAAATGCATGATGTTATAAGAAGGAATACAGAAATAAGTGTGAAAATGAGGACCTTGGGACAGCGGGAGCTGTGGTGCTTACAGAAAGATGAACAATTTATTTTATTTTTTATTTTATTTTATTTTATTTATTTTCTATTAAGTTTATTGGAGTAACATTGGTTAATACAATTATATAATTTTCAGGTGTACATTATAATTTGACATCTGTATATTCTATTGTGTGTTTACCACCCAAAATCCAGTTTCCTTCAGCTACCATATAGTTAATCCCCTTTACCCATTTCACACTCTCCCTACCCCCCTATATTTAACACACTTTACTCCGTCTACCTCCCCACTCCTTGCCCACCCCCTACTCTCTGGTAACCACTAGCCTATAGTCCATGTCCATGAGTCTCTGTTTGTTTGTCTTGTTCCTTTGTTGCTTTTAGGTTTATATCCCACATATAAATGATATCATGTGATTTACAACTTTTTCTGTCTGGCTTATTTCACTTAGTATGATTATTTCAAGGAAGATGAGCAGTTTAGAGCCAGTGTGGAAGTTGCATGGATAATCTTCTTCACATATGACATCCAGCCTGTCTAGCAAACTATGGGCTTGTTCTAATGAGCAAAAGGTGGGGAGGTAGCAGGTGCCTGGGATTGGTTTTTTGGTAAAGCAGAAAAAAATGGGTGAGGCAATACCACTTTTCCTGCAGCAAATATCTGTCAGCAGCCAAAGCCTGGAGACTGAACCCTATAAAGTTATGTTATTTTTAGTCTCAGGTGGGCCCATGGAAGGAGAGAGGGATGGAGGCCAAAATAATGGAGAGGAGAGTAATGAAGGCTCCTGCCCACTGGGATCCCAGCCCTGGGGACTCTTTGTTTGCCCTCAGCTTCTCCCAGCTGGTATTTCACATGCACCTGGGAAGAAAGAGGATAAATCCTTCCGTGACAGCCAGAGCCTGATGCCTTTCACTGACCCCGGTGCCATTCTGCCTATCTTCTTCTTTTTCCAGGACAATTACCTGGGGTTCACTTTTTGAAAATTAGCCGTTACTGGTGAGTCTCCACTGCTATCCTCTGCCAGGGCTGCAAGGGTCGGTATTAGAGGATCACATGAGAAGAAAGAGAAAAATCAGGGAGAGGGAAATGTATGGGTGATAGGAAAGCAGCAATCCTGGAAGAAAGGGTCTGAGTTCTATTTCTGACTCCTCCCTTAAATGCTTGAATGAACTTTGGCAAGTGTATTCCCCACATTGGGCCTTATTTAGTATTTTTATTTTTATTTGTAAAATGAAGTCTTGGAATCCAGGATTCCAACTGAGTAATATAAATATTTGAGCAATGAATGGAAGGGACCAAATAGGAGCCATTATAAAAATTAGAAGAAAACCAGCAGATTCCAGCATCAAGAATTCCAAAAGAGAGCTTTAAAAAAGAAGGCATTGCCATAAGACACAACTATTGCAAAGAAATCAGATATAATTAAGTCATCACTATCCCTCCTTGTTACATTCTCTGACCTTTCTTGACACATCAGTTTATTCACTAAAGATTTTAGTACTGACTCAGTTTTCTCTTTCCATTACTGATCCACATACAATTCTCACTAATTTTCAATACCCCTACTTTGTTCCAATCAGAAGCCTCATTCTCAGCTCCTTGACCTATTCTCATCAAGGACTGCATTCTTTACCTTAAATCAGCAACTCTATCCCATCCCATATACTACAGCCCTGGTCCCTTCTTACCGTTTCTTACTCTCTCGTTAACACTTCTTTTTATTCAGATTAGTGTCCACAGCACAGCTTTATAATCACTCCTTTGCATTTACCCTGAACTTCAGTCATGCTAGCCTATCCTAACTTCAACCTAGTTAAAGTCAACACTCTGCATAGCTTTCTCCTGCATTGGAGTAGCTGAATGTAGTGATTGAAAGCATACCTAAATGCTGACTGGTTCCGCTTTGTTTTGTTTTTTTTTTTTGTTTTTGCTTTTTAATATTTAATGGATCTTAAGTTCCTTTTTGTTTTCTTTTTTTTTAATGTATTGGGTGACATTGGTTAATAAAATTATATGGGTTTTAAGTTTATAATTCTATAGTACATGATCTATATATTGCATTGTGTGTTCGCCACCCAAAGTTAAATCTCCTTCCATCATATATTTTATTCAATTATCACTGACGTTTAGTATTATTTTATGTTAGTTTCAGGTGTCACCATAGTGGTTATACATTTATATAAATTATGAAGTGATCCCGCCGATAAGTCTGATGCCCACCTGGTACTATACATAGTTATGACAATGACTGGTCCCACTTTGAATTAATAAACATCAAATGGGCCTTTATCACTGCCTAGAATCCTACTACATTGCCCTAGTACATCTATTCTCTCCCTCTTCCTCTTTCTCTCACAAACACACTAGAATTAGATTTTCTTTCCAATTATTCCACTGAAACAGCTCTTCTCAAGATCAGCCATGACTTCCACATTGTTAAACCCTTTGGTCACTTCTCTGTCCTTATTCGCTTGATCCCGTAGCAAAATTACATGTAATTGATTCATTCTTCTTGAAACTCATACAAGACTACACTTCTCATTTTCTTCCTAATGGCATTTTTTCCTCAATCTATTTTAGTGGAGCCTTCTCTTCTTAGCCTGTAAGTTTTAAATTTGCCTAGAGCTCAATACCAGAAACTTCTTTCTACACTCACTTCTTAGATTTCCTCATCCAGCCTATGTGCTAATAGCTCTCAAATTTCTCTCTTCTTCAACTTACTTCTGAAGTCCACATTTATACTACTAAGTTAATAAAGACAAATAAATGAAAACCCCATTGAGAGAAGTGATTATAAGTTAAATTTTTTGACATACTTTTGAGATAACTGTGAAACATCTAACTGCAGATGCTCAGCATCCTGTGAGATATGTGAGCTTGGAAATCAAAAAAGAAAAGTTACAGAGATATATTTGATACTAGTTAACATATGGATGGTAAATAAAGTCATAATATTACCTGAAGAAGAGCAAAGAGAATGGTCAGAAAATTGTCAGGAGATGGAAATGGCTCTAATTAAGAGATGAGCAATGAAGACAAGCCAGCAAAGGAGTCTGAAAAGGAATCAAAATAATACAAATATAAAGAAAAACCTTGTGAGGGTCGTGCTACCAACAAAAGTTTCAATCAGATAATGAGGGAAGTGGAATTAATAACAGTGAAGTAGATGATTCCAAAGATGATGATGATGACAATTTTGCTTATAATGATGTGAATGTGAATGAAACTAAAGAATTAATAACCGTAAATGTCCATTTATTTTCAGCTCGGTACTTGAGGAATGCCAGCCCAATATCACCTCAGTCCTCAATTCATGCTCTTGTCCAACAGCACTCAGTTTAGCCCCCTATTCTACCTCACCAGCTTTCCTGGATTGGAAGCCATCAAACACTGGATTTTCATCCCCTTTTTTCTTATGTACCTGGTGGCCATCTCAGGCAATTGTTTCATTCTGATAATTATTAAGACCAACCCTCATTTGCACACACCCATGTACTATCTACTATCCTTTCTGGCCCTCACAGACCTGGGACTGTCAGTATCTACTTTGCCCACTACAATGGGAGTCTTTTGGTTCAATTCTCATGGTATCTATTTTGTAGCCTGCCAAATTCAGATGTTCTGCATCCACTCATTTTCCTTCATGGAGTCCTCAGTACTCCTTGTCATGTCTTTTGACCGCTTTGTGGCCATCTGCCACCCCCTGAGGTATTTGGTCATTATCAATGACCAGCGAGTGGTCAGGGCAGGCCTGATTGTCATCTTCCGGGGACCTGTGGCCCTTGTTCCTATTGTCCTCCTCCTGAAGGCTTTTCCCTATTGCGGGCCTCAAGTCCTCTCTCATTCTTTCTGTCTCCACCAGGAGGTTATACACTTGGCCTGCACAGACACTACCTTCAATAACCTCTATGGGCTGACTTTGGTGGTGTTCACTGTGATGCTGGACCTTGTGCTCATTGCTCTGTCTTATGGAGTCATCCTACACACAGTGGCAAGACTGGCCTCCCAAGAGGAGCAGCATCGAGCCTTCCAAACGTGTACCTCGCACCTCTGTGCTGTGCTGGTATTCTTCGTGCCTATGGTGGGGCTGTCCCTAGTGCACCGCTTTGGGAAGCATGCCCCACCTGCTGTTCACCTTCTTATGGCAAACGTCTACCTTTTTGTGCCTCCCATGCTTAACCCAATCATATACAGTATTAAGACAAAGGAGATCCGCCATGCTATCAGCAAGCTCCTGGGTCTTAGAAAGGCCAGTGCTGAGTCCTAGGGCTAAAATTCCTCTGGCTGCCCAGAAGAGGGTCCCCAATCAGGCCAAGCATTGAGTACCTATTATTACACCCCATATTTCCCAAGACTTTTTTCCATCACCCTAAATAAAATATGAGTGAGATTCTTTCTTGAGTTATGGGTTAAAGATGCTGACCATCTCTTGCTTAAATGATAATGCCTCCTCCTATATATGAGATCTAGCATTTTGAGTTACATCAAAAGCTGCCCAGAGGAAGACTCTGTTGAGGGTCATCATCGATGTGCAGAAAATAAAACTAAAATGAAACTAAACAAAAACTAAAAAAAAAAACAATACCTTTAAAAGACACTCGGAGCAGAACTTGGTAGAAAAGAGATAAACACCAATTCTAATCCACCTCAGGAAGTGTACCTCTTCCCATGACTTCACGTGATTGCTTACCTCATCTCTACCTGACCAAGGTCCTTCCCTTCATTTTCTGTCCTGGGTAAGCAGTATGCTTTGGACTCTCAAGTCACATTGGAAGAATCAGAACTTCTGCACTCTCCCCTAATGGTTAATTCAGACAGAATTCTTTCAAATCTTTCTGAAATGTGCTCCCTTCTGGCCTTGCTTATCTAAGAGAAGCCCTTGACCCCACCTGTGACTCTTCTTATCTTTGATTTTACCTTTGCTATGGACTCCTGAGTCTCACAACCTCAGGTCTGACATTAAGCTAAAATCAGTTTTTTCTTCTAGGTACATTTAGTTGTGAGATCTTGCTCGATGACATGCAATGCAACAAAAATTCAATGAAGGAAACTACCACATGTCTCATTCTCATTTTCTTCCTAACGGCATTTTCTTCCTAAATCATAATCTCATTGCTGAGAAGGTTGTAAAATCAGCAGAAGATTATTCCTACCATTAATTAAATGAAATTTATGTTGGAGTCTCAGCATTGAGGTTGCTTGCTCAAGGACATTGTCAATGACAGTCTCCCTCTCCAGAGCAGATACTTCATTGGTCTCTTCTCACAGAACTCTGCATTTCTCATTGCAACATTTGTCACATACATACCAGTATGTGATATAATCATACATATCAGTGTATTATTTTATGTTTTAGTTTAGGTTTCTTTTAATCTTCCAGAATAGGTTACTAAATTAAGCTTCTTGGGGGAAGTATGCATGTTGGGTTTACCAGTAAATCTCTATAAATACAATCCCTGGCAGATAACAGATACCCAATAAATAAATACTAAATGAATTTATGAGTACATAAATACATAAAGTGGGATCCAAAGCTGAGATAGAGAACTTATTTTTCTTTTCTAGAGAACCCTTCCTCTTTATATTTAAGAAGCCAGAGAGGACTCCTTTCTGATGTCATTCATCAAAGGGATGTTCCCATCAGTTTCCAATTCTGCTTTGTTCAGGTAATTTGGGCCTTCCCACCCTCTCTGCCACAGGATAAAATTACCATGACCAGAAGTACTTCCTGAGAGCTGCTTTTCACAGCTCTGGGCTATGGGAAACTGTGTATATAAACCACCACTCCTGCCTGATCCAAGGCCTAATGGAAAACTTGCTGGGTCTGTTTAATCAATAAAATTTTCTATTTCTTATCATGGACTTAGGAGTTTAGAGTTTTATGGGCCCTGAAAAGACAATTATTTTCTCAAAGGCAGATATTATGTCATATTAATCTTTACATTCAAGTATATGGTACAAAATTTGTAGTCTCTACATATTTGCTGAATAAATGAGTATCAATAACTACCTAGTAGGAAGAAGGGTTTGGAAGGGAGGCTTAAAGAGAGGATCATAGAAAAGATTTAGGGTTAAACAATACATTTTCTTATAATGATAGCAGCTAGTGGGAGAAGAAAATGAAGGATCATCTGATCTGCTGAAATTGCTCCAGGCGGTACTGATGGATCCTAGATTTTCATGCACAATAACTGGGACTCTCAAAAACTAAGTTCTAGAAGGATATTGATTCTTCTTTGGTGTTTGTCAGATCTGCATTTATCTAAGGAGTTTTCTCTGAAAGCCTAAGACCCAAGGGAGAAGGACAGATAGCTTTATAATTGCCAGTGCAGCAGATCCCGAGTCAATCAGAAGAGGCTGGGAGAGGAGTGAGAAGCACTACAGGGTTCAGGAAAGAAGCTACTGACAGCAAGGGATCAGTAAGTTATTGGAAGTTCTTTGGTTTATGGATAGAGGCAGCAATTCCAATGAGCTCTATGATACCTCTTATCTAGCAGGTCTCTAACTGGGGTTACAAGGCAGGCCAGCTTCCAAGACAATGGCTGGTCTGTGGTTAGAACAGCTGTTTTATTATATCTCACCTTGATCATTTTGCTTAGAAGGAGAGACCAGAATTTGTTAGTGGGCTGGGCTTTGAAGTGGAATGGTACAGGATGTGGAAGGCAAGGAGTCATAATCTCAACAACGCCAACCTGATTGATGCAGCTTCTAACACTTCACAGCACTTCTTTCCACAGTCCCATTAAACCCTAGTTTCCCTGGAAAGAAAACAAGATGCCTGTGAAATCTTCTATCACAGAACAAAGTTAAAGTGCAGAGCAGAGGAATTTGGTCACCTCATCAAAGTCATGTGGTTGGCTTGTCTAAAAACCGCTTAAGAGCTCAGAGCTCCCAACACTGAGTTCCTTACTCTCCATTGTTGTTGGATCACTCATTAACTTTCTCTTAGAGCCCACCACAGACAAGAAGGAAAGGTCTGTAGCTGTCATATGGTAGATAACTGTTATAAGGAACTTTCAGTAAGAAGGTATTGTTGGAAACTGCAAATAATAATAATCTACATCTATTGAGTGTATGATTCTAACTGCACTACATGTAGAATTGCATACAAATAACTCTATAACCTACAAAGTAGGTATAATAATTGTCTCTATATTTCAAGTGAGGAAGCTGAGATCAAGAAAATAATTTGTATAATCATAGAGTGCATAAAATATTGGAGCTATGATTTGAACACAGATCTGATTCCAAAGCTACTTCCTTAACCACCACATGATACTGCTTAATGAGTTTTTGTCTAGAGAGCCACAGGACTTGATAGATTCTTTACTGTCCAGTAGCCTTGAGATGAGAAGACTAAACAAAGGGCTATGGGAGTTTTCCTGGCCACCTTTTCTAGACACTGACTTAAGGCCCCTTAGTACCTCACCCTCACACAGTTCCTCATGCTTCTCCATATCAGTCCCTCTGTCAACATCTCCCATTCCCCATCCTCTCTGCTCCCCATCCCTTCCTCTCCTGTTGTTTCACAAGAGACTCTCTCTTCTCCCCAAACTCCTTTTTTCTTTCATTTGACCTCCCACTCTGCCCCTCTTTCTGTTTCTCTCTCTATCCTTCCCCATCCTCTCTCAGTCCCTAAGCTTCCTATCAGTTTATTCAATGGATTTCCCCTTCACTGTTCCTCAGTGTCTATCCTCTCCCCAGTTCTCTCTTTATGTGTTTCGGCCATCCTTATCCCTCCTCTCAGTCTTTTAGCAACCCTCTCTCTGACCTTATCTTCCCCTTTTTCCAGGCCTTTAATCCTTCTCTCTGCCTCACATCTTCCTCATCTTCTGCTCCTGAGTTTCTCCTTCTAAGTTTCACACCCTGCTCTTTCTCTGACACTCGGCTTGCCTTATTCTGTCCTTTGACATCTTTATCACCAGCTTTTACCACATCTCCATTTTTCTTCCATCTTCTTGTGGTCTTTCAGCCTCTCATACTTCTTGAACCATTATTCTCCCCAAATTTGCCCCTCAGCATATTCTTATTAAGCCACCATTTCACAGTCTCTCACTCTTCTCCTACCTGACCCAATAATAACTTCTTCCACTTCTCAGACTCATTTCTCAGTCAGTCCCTCATCCTTGCTTTCTGTCCTTCAGTTTATGCTGTGATATATTTCTCAGGACCCCCTTTCCTTACTGCCTCTCAATTACTCCCTCAGTCCTTTAGTCTCTCAGTAGATCTTTAATCTTTCCAAGGCACATGGCACTTTTTGCCAAGATCTAAAGCACTATCACATTAAAGTGGAGATGGAATGTATTTCTGAATAACAGGAGAGGGTAAAGGGTAAGAGCAATAGGGAAAATTACAAGAAAATCACTTTTGGTTCAAGAGCAATAGCATATATTTATTGTTTATTATATCCAAATTTTGTGCTGAGTTCTGTACACATGGTGTGGCAATTAAAACACACTCATCTTTAATTAGGAAATATCATTATCACTGTTTTACTGATGAAGATACAAAAGAAAATATTATTTCAGATGCTGAGATCCAGGATAGCAGGGTGTCTTGTGAACATCTCTCCAGGTACCTCTGCTTTTGTACTTAATAAATGAATTTAAGCAAGGAACTGGCTTTGTCATTACTTCTGTTCCAAGGGACACTTACCTTAGAAACATTTCTCTAGTAAGTTTACTTGATTTATTAAAGTTGTGTAAGTTGTTTGAGTCCTCCAAATTGATTTCTGGGGAGAGATAGCTTTGAAAATACAGAGACAACAAAAAAAAAAGGAAGAAAAAGAACAGAAACAAAGGAATAGGCATGTCAGTACACCTTGAAGTTAGAGATGAAAAAAAAGAAATCTCAGGAGTTAGAATGAAGGTAGCAGCTTTAATTATATAGGCTATATAGAATAAATTAGTGTGACTTTATGAGAAGAAGAATGAGATTCCCAGGGGACCTGAGAAGATGCCTGAGGCATGAGATACTGGACAGTGAGTCACAAGTTCCTTGAGAGGGGTTGAGATAGGAAAGAATCAAGATACTTCTTATCCTGATCACATGGATGCGCAGAGAGGAATACATAATGACAATAAGGAGATAAAGCAGATTGGATGAGGCAACTCTTTACAAGCATCCTCAATTTGCTTAGAAAAATTAGAGATAATTTGTCCTATAGGAAATGCTTGAAGAGGTCATACAAAGAAGACAATTAGGGAGGAACAGAATTTTTGAGAATCTGCACATTCGGTTCAAGTTGAGCTATATAAATTTTTCTAAGAGAAGAAAAAGAACTATCATTCACTAGCTGGTCAAGAACAAGAGTAGAGAAAACTCATGTTGATGCTTAATGTCATTGAAGTAAGTAAAGGGTTAGATGGAAATGAGAGAAGGGGGTAGGGCAGAAGCAGGAAAAAGACAGGCTGTGAGAACAGTGATTCAATGAGAGATCATTGAGTTCCAGAGTGAGCAGAGAGGCCAGACCAGCCAACAGGGTTTTGGTACCCAGTGACAGAGGGATGGCTCCTGCTTACTGGCCTAGTAACCTTCAATCATATTGCCACTTTTCTTAGAGTGAATAGACCTCTTGAGAATGATGATGTCCAC